AAAGTCTTCAGCTTCCAAAGGCCCCTCCCCCACACACTGTGTGTGTGTAGCTCTATCTCTAAATTACCTTTTACTAGAGCAGTGGTTCCCAAACTTTAACAACCTGTGAACCCCTTTCACTAAAATGTCAAGTCTCGCGAACCCCCTCCTAAAAATGAATATTTCCAGGGATTTTCTCCTTTACCCGAGTATAAATTATAAAAGCAGTGATCTTGGAAATATAAAATTTGTTTTTATGACATGCTTATTACATACTATTATTAATTATTAGTTATCTTTACAGTATTTTTATTACATTATGAAAACGGCACTCTTCCAAGATCTCACTTTCGTAGCTTGTATCACTTTGAATAAGCCTGTTATGAGACAAGGCTTCTATGTTTCATCAAGGAGTATCAGATGTGAAACAGCATGAAGGCATTTAAGAAGCCAACTCAAAGAGTTCCTCCTACACAAGCATTCAGGTCTTGAGCAGTCCAGGCAAACAACGCACATTACAACAAAGCTTAAACTTGTTCATAATAATTTTAAAAACAATACTAGCTGCCTATTTAATTTTAAAAACAGCAAAAAATATCCACCTCCCTTTCCATTTCTTATAAGGAGTCTTGAAGTTTAAATCTCCTCAGTGTGATAGCTATGTTTGCTTTGATCTGCTTAGCTCTTGGAAGTCCAGCGGCTCCAGGCTGCTGGCCCCATGCTGCCCAGGATCCCTAGGGATGGCTCTGACCGCCATTAGAGAATTTTTTCCCGAGAACCCCCTGTAACATTTCGCGAACCCCCAGGGGTTCACGAACCCCAGTTTGGGAACCACTGTACTAGAGTGAGGTAATTTAAACATCACTTGTTTTGCAGCTTCATTTACTGTGCTAACAATGTAGCATCCTGACATTGATACTTCTGCCCAAGTGATCATTTCCTCCTCAGGTTAAGTCCATCAGCTATTAGCCATAATCAGGGATGTATCCCTACCTCTGACTGCCAGATGCTGGGAGTGGATGATGGGATGGTTCACTCAGTGATTGCCTGTTCTGTTCATTGCCTCTGAAGCCCCTGGCACTGGCCGCTGTCAGAAGACAGGATACTGGGCTAGAGGAATCTATTGGTCTGACCCACTATGACAGTTCTTATGTTCAGCAAAAATTACAATAGGTTTTATTGAATATTTGAGAATCTAGTTCTCCACACAAGCAATGGCTTGTGGAAAAACACTACGGGCTAGATTGAGAGGCAAAATAACAGTTGCAAAAGGCAATCACCATTGTGGATTGAATGAAAACAAAAGTTTTGAGACAGGGCTAGAAAAGTCAGTGAGACTGGAAGTCACATGATCTAACAGAATAAACTTGTGCTCTAAAAATAAGAAAAAAGTTAGAATTAAAAATTCCAAATTAGAAATCCCAATACTAGAAAGAGATGCCATTGCTAAAACTACAAGCAAGTACTATGCTACTTGGGCTTTGCTGGCCACGTAGGGAGCCAGTCACAGGGCCCAGGTTGTCCTCTCTCATCCTGCTCCCATGGCTACCTGCTCAAAAGTGCCTAGGAAGGCATCGGGGTCTCTGCAGGGCCCATCTTACAGAGTCCCAAGCCCAATGCCCAAATGCCACCCCCCACCATGGCACTCACCATCTTCTGGAGGAGCTGCTACTGGATGCTGGCGTGCTCTCGTATAAAGTCCTGCAGACTCTTCTGCTGCTCTGCTTGCCAGCTAAGCAAGGCCTGCCTCTCCAGCTGGTGGGACTTCTGAAAGGTTTGCATTGCTTTTTGCACCTCTTCCTGCTGCTTTACCAGTCACTGCAGGGTCTCCTCCATCTGTGGGCTGCCATAGTCTTCCTCTGGCACAAAATCCCAGCCAAGCCCCCACGTGTAGCAGTTTATGGCAGGTCCTCTTTGCTCCTGCCCCCGCTACGCTGACAAAGTCACTTGGAGATCTTGGGGTTTGGTAACCACTGGTGCTTTTTATTTACAGGTTGTGCTCCCACCACCTTTTCACCATACACAGCTTGCTTCTAGTGTCTGCTCCCAGGAGGGAAGAGCTATCACTCTGCTTCCTCTCCTCCCTCTGGCTTCCTTCCCTGCAGCCTTTATATAGCCCCAGGCTAACTGGGCAGGCAGGCATCTCCCATTCACCCATTAGGTGCAGGTTTTCTCTAGCCAGCTCCAATTTGCTTCCCATAATGGGGGCTGCTTTGACAGAGGGCCAAGTCAGCAGTTCTTACCCAGCAACCTGTCACACATATATAAATAAAATGGGGTTCAGATATGAAAGACTCAGGTTCAAGTCCCTGTTCTAAATCAGTTAGAGAAGGATTTGAAAACAGGTCTCCTACATTCTACACAAGCTCCTGAACTGCTGGGCTATTGGCTACAGTGGGATAGGAGGTGGTCTTTATCTCTGTGCACGTGAGAGAGAGGACTGACTTGGTTTAGGCACCTAATTCCAGGACAGGATCCATGGCTGTGAATCCCAACTGGAGATTCATAGATTCTAAGGCCAGAAAGGATTGCTCCAGTATGCACAAGCCATAGAATTTCCACACCAGAATTTCTAGAGCAGATATTTCAGAAAACAATCACATCATAATTTTAAAAAATTGTCAGTGATGGTGAATCTACCACAACCCTTGGTAAATTGTTCAAATGGTTAATTACTCTCAACTATTGAAAAGTTATGCCTTTTTTCCAGTCTGAATTTGTCTAGCTTCAGCTTCTAGCAATTGGATCATGTTAGACCTTTCTCTGCTAGAAAGAAGAGCCCATTGTTAAATATTAATAGTTGGGGTTGGTCCTGCTTTGAGCAGGGGCTTGGACTAGATGACCTCCTGAGGTCTCTTCCAACCCTAATCTTCTATGATTCATTCCCCATGTAGGTACTTCTACACTGTAATCAAGTGATCCCCTTAACCTCCTTCTCTTTATTAAGATAAATAGACTGAACTCCTTGAGTCACATTCTGGTGTGCAATACAGACCAGTGAGAAGTTGTGTCATCACCTGCCCTGTAATCCTGAGTGCCTTAATATGCTCTGCTGCTGCAGCTCCCTTGCCTGGACACTCCCAGCCAGCATACAAACATGCACTGAGTGTCTGTGTGATATTCAGCCATGGACCAGCAGCTCTGCTTGTTACACCACAGCCACACTCTGCCTCCACCAGCCATGGTTACACCAGGCAAAATGACTTCAATACCACTCAGGCCTGAATCTTCCCAAAACCATGTGCTCTGAAATGTCCAGATCTTTTCTGGACCATTCAGAGGAATAAGGTTTGTTTGCTCCTCTAAAAAGACAACCTGTACAGTTTATCACCATAAATGGAGTTAGCGATCACTTCAATTCAAGCACAGCACTGAGTTGTTTTAGATCAGTGGTTCGCAGACTTTAAAAATCTGTGAACCCCTTTCACCAAAATGTCAAGTCTCACGAACCCCCTCCTAAAAAAGAATATTTCCAGGGATTTTCTCCTTTACCTGAGTATAAATTATAAAAGCAGTGATCTTGAAAATATAAAATTTGTTTTTATGACATGCTTATCACACACTAATTATTAATTATTTCTCATTACAGTATTTTTATTATATTATGAAAACGGCAACACTTTCAAGATCTCACTTTTGTAGCTTATATCACTTTAAATAAGCTTGTTATAAGACAAGGCTCCTATGTTTCATCAAGAAGTATCAGATGTGAAACAGTATGAAGGTATTTAAGAAGCCAACTCAAAGAGTTCCTCTTATACAAGCGTTCGGATCTTGAGCAGTTCAGGCAAACAACACACGTTACAATAAAGCTTAAACTTGTTCTTCATAATAATGTTAAAAACAATACTAGCTGCCTATTTAATTTTAAAAACAGCAAAAAATATCTACCTCCCTTTCCATTTCTTATAAGGAGTCTTGAAGTTTAAAT